GCTTGCTCTGCACATAAGAGACAGAGAGAAAAGTCATTCGAAATTAGTCAGGTTTTGTGGCCAGTTTCCTGCAGATGCATTTAAGTTCCGAGTCCAGAATTTATGAGATACAAAATGACTTTAGCATATGCAAAACTGCATACCATTTCATTTGGAACAAAATTACCACAATGTTATAGATGTCACGTATTTGTTTACAGGTATGTATATGTGAAGAAATATATTCAATATTTTCACATTTGTGAGCTTGATGGTACCGTAGTTTGCCTTCATTAAAACATTCATCCTAAAAAACTTCAATGTTGTAAAGATAAAAATTGGGTGGGAGGGAATATCAGACTTGTTCATTTTATTTTTTTATTTCTGTTTTTTTCTCAAGTTTTGGTAACAGCGTGTTTTAATTTTTGTAATCAGAATAAAAGAAAGACATTTTAATTTTATATATTGATGATATGGTGTTACCGGAAATGACTACTATTGTAGTCTTTTACCTTTCCCCTAATTTATTACATCTTCATAGATTTTATTTAATATTTCTGATTTTTAAAAAAGACTGGATTTATTATTGATAGGTTAAGAATAATAAAAAGAATTTTTAAATTAAATAATTTCATATAGTAGTAATAGAATCTGCAACTATTAATAGAAAATTGCTTATGAATGGACTGTGTAACCACAGAATTGCATACTTTTAAGTATTGCATGCGCCCAAAATAGATCTCAGAACACCTAGTGCAGATGGCATTTCATAGTGCTGAGTTAGCATTTTAATCAGAATTAGGGGGATGCTAAAGCTTATAATCCTAATAAGATTCACAGAATAAAAACAACTGTGATACATGACATGCTTGGGTTAGTTTTACACGAAGACAGAAAAAAAACAGAAACATTTTGTTAGAATTGTGCTGCTGAGTGAAGTTATGGGTAGGCTGATTCTTAGCGGGCATTGCACAATGAAGAAAATCTTTCTTAAAAAATGTTGGCTTGATCCAGACTGTATCATTATCCTGAGAAGTGGTTGCTGCCCCAAACTTGGATGATCTCACAAACCCCCTGCACCGGTGGCAGTCAGTGAAGCTGTCTGGGGTGCTGCGTGGGGAGCCCTCTGGTCTGTCCAAGCCGGTGAAGATATAACTGAGGTAGACAAGGAGGCACCCGGGCTGGCGCTGGTTCCCTTCCTGCTCAGCCACATGCCAGCTTGGAGGCCTTGACCAAGTCACTCCATCTCTGAGTCTCTGAGCCTCAATGTCCCAAACCACCTAGTAAGACTATGTATATTCCACAGAGGCCTCCTGCAATCAAATAAGTATAAATACATCAAACACTGAGCAGCGCCCAGCCCATAGTAGTTTCTCCAGATACCTTGGTTCCTTCCCTTTTGAGATGGGCCTTGTTGGAAGGCATCTGGCAGTGGCACAGCCTGGGGTCCAGCCTGAGAAGATCCTATGACTTTCAGTGTGTTTACTCTGTTCCTTTGGTCCTCTATTTAAGAAAGAGGAGTGAGCCCGAACTGGGTTTCCTTCATTATGTTGGTGTGACTTGCTCTACACTCTCTACGTTTCATTCATTTATGCCCCTTCATATAATAGAAGTTAACAAAAAGATTATTCTCAGGTATTATTATTTGTTAGAAAAGCTATAATTGTATATATTTCACTGCTCAGGGAACAACGTGATAAAGAGGAATATCGAAGAATTTTCTACAGCAAATCACCAAGAAAAAATAGTCAAGAAAATATCTTAAGAAACTCACCAAGGACGTGGGAAAAGATGGTTTTGAAGTTTTATTTAAAAAGAAAGAGGCTGAAATAACTGCTGGAGGGTGTCACGGCGTAATAATCAACTTGGAAAGTCCCACTATTCTTTTCTGTTGTTGCTGAGAATGATGGGAAAGCACACAGGCTTAACGTAATCCAAAACCACTTACAAGCTTGAGTGTGTGTGTTCAGTGAAGAGTTCATTTTGCTGTCTCCATGTTATTTCAAATAATAAATTCGTATTTATCCTTTAGTATAGTTACATTTAGAAATTGAGCTTGAAGTCTGGATGATTATGCGCATATAGTTCTTACAATGTTTTGAGCCATTGGCTTCAAAAAAGGGGGAGAAAAAACCCTCTACAGTTGTATTACTGTCAGCCCCACAGAGCTACCCATAAGCAAAGTTGTATAGTTTTATGAATTGTCAACTCAATTGTCAGTCGGGTTCTGAATTTTAGAAATGTCGTCCCACGAGATAGATGCACAAGGCAGCAATAACACAGTTTGATTTCCAGGTGCAAGGTGGAGGTGGCAGGGTGATCTGGGGAAACCTCGCTCTGACACAGGAGTGTGTTCACTAGGTTTGGCAGTGGTTTCAGACGCCGGATCTGGAACCGTGGCGACGTCCTGGTGGCAGGCCTTCCCATTCTGTCCTCGGACCTGCACCGCACATGTACACAGTGAGGCTCTCGGGGGAATGACTCCAAGCCAACGGGCTGTGAAGGAACCCGCTGCTAGCAGTCTCTAACCTGGGTGTCATGACTCTTTTCAGGTAGTAGGTGTAACCTTGAAGAAAAAGTGGCACTGTCTTCAAAAAAGTGACCTGACCCTGGCTTTGGTGGGTTTTTCTGCAAGAAATCAAAAGCACCGCATGTGTTAATGATACATCCTTTCTAGCTGACCACTGCTTTGTTCTAGAGTTCAGCATGAAAGGACTACTTTTTGTTTTGGTTTGGTTTTTTTGTTTTGTTGTTTTGTTTTGTTTTTTAGTGAAATGGCATGTCCGTTGCTAATTCTAGCTCCTATAGTTGCACATGTGAAAAATATCTATCTGTAGTTTATGGATTGGTAGCATTTCAAATAAGTAGTGTATTGAAATATTGACCTGAAATTTTTTGAGATGCTCATCAATTGACCTTTTTTTTTTCTTAGCTCAAGAGTCTGAATTATTATTTCTTTTTTTAAAAAAATTATACATTGTAACATTAGATTTGCTCTCTTAAGTATGTTAGGAATTTAAATGTAAGCATGCCACTTCGTTCATTGCTATCTTATTAGAAGTTCTTGGAGCATGGAAAGAATTCTTCACAAATGATTTTGCTCTTTTGAAAAAAAATAAGCTCAAAAATATTTGTTAAACTATATTTAATCTGTAAATGAGGGTAGCTTGTAAAGGTATGCAAAGCTTATAGTATGTAATGTCTCATCCCAAAAATTTTTATATTTTGAAAAAAATGTAAAACAGTTTAATAGTTCCATAATAATCTTTTCCCAGAATTCAGAATTGTATGCATCTCTATTTTTAGGAAGTTCGCATTAAATCATTAAAGAATAAACTTGAGATCATTTTGCTTCCCAATTTTTAATGTTTTCCTTTATTCTTCTAGTAGTCAGTGATTCTAAGGATTGTGGCCATAAAGACATTCCAGAATATATTTGATAGTAACTCCTGATAAATAAAATCTCTTGTCGTTGATATTTCACCATGAAATAAACATTATCATTCAATCATGCTAGTTCTTAAATAAAAGTAAAAACACACACACACACAAAGAAATAAACTTAGAGCAATAAGGAGATTCACACATTCTAAAATCTAGTAAATATAAAGTTTTCTTTGTTTTCATAAATAAAACCTGCCACTTGTTATTTAGACAGGAATGCCTGAGAAAATGGATGATGAGCACATAACAAACTGAGGGCCCAGGAATTGTATAGTAGAATGCAATTAGAGTCACTCCTTATTCATCTCAGAAGACTGGCTTCCTGGAATAGACCTACCTTGTAAATTCTTAAAGCTCTGTGCAAGACCATGATGATAATGTGATTCTATCCATTTGCATTACATAGAAAGTAACAAGTTGTATTGACCTTTAGAATTCATATTAACCCTAACTCCCACTTATGTTGGATTGCTCTTAATTCCCTTTCAGACAACAGACCGCATATGTCCATTTTTGTTTCTGGTCCTATGATATCTCTGTATGCTGCATTTGTATTTTAAATAGATTTACAATACAGATATTCATGTGTGCTCTTATAAAATTATTTTCTCCAGAGAAGCATTGCCCAGAGACATAAGAAAATTGAATTTTTCTGTTTTAAAAGTGTTTAGAGATTATTTAATTTTTACATAGTATGAGATGCTTCTAATTGGATTGAGAAGGTAATATTTTATTTCATTTTTTCCATAATGCCATATATACTATCAAAAATTTAATAATCTAGTATACCAAAAAGACAGAAAGCCAACATACCCCTTTATAATTTATAACTCTGTGTAAGACACACAAAAAATATGGATATGGAATATATATGCCTATATATTTATCTCTATATCAATGCCTTGATTAGTAATCATCTTTATTTATACCTGGATTTACAGATTCTCCAATGAAAAGAGATTTTAAAATTCTATTAAAATTATTTGGTCTCAAAAACATTGAGAATTACAAATTTTTTTCATACTAGCTCCACAAAGTAAGGTGGGTGAATTCCTGAGACATTAGACCACTGAAGAATTTTTTTAGAGGTTTTTATGACACTTTTATTCTTTTTATGCCAAATCCACTCAAAAATGACAAATTCCAAAGACCACCCACCAAGCCTCCATGGGAATCAGACCCTGATCCCAATCCCTGTCCCAGACTCCTTGTCATTCAAAAGTCTTAGAAATTATATAAGAATAATTTATAAATGAACCTAGCAGGCAATTCATAATGTATTTAAATAGATGCTACAAATTATGTTCATGTCATGTAAATTGCCTAAAATATACCATACATTTAAAGTACTATGTTAAAATTAAATGTCAGTTGTAAAGGTGAAAAAGTAGCTAAAGTTCACAATCTTTTTTCAGATATTGTGTGTTTTCTCTTCAGCCAAAAGCCTCAAGATTCACTTGCAGCAGCCTACTTCTTCATTTATGTTGGATTGGTCTTTAAACATTAGACTATCTTGTAATAAATAATAACTTAAAGATTTCTCCTGACACAAGTCATTGTTGATTTCACTGTTATAGGGAAAAGGCTCTAGGGCGGCAGATAAGGCTGTTGCCATGGTGATGAAGGAGATACCGAGGGAGGAGTCTGCTGAAGAAAAGCCCCTCCTTACTATGACATCACAGGTGGGCAGCCCCATAGGGTTCCTGTAGGAAGCTGACATATGTTAATATATCAGACGCTGTGATTTTTAACTAGCAAAAAAAAAAAAACCAAAAACATTAACTTGAACTAATTTCTTTCAAAGCAGTTTCAATGAAACAAATTATATGTTATAAAGTGAAAGCAAAAATTGCTAAGAAAAAGAAAAATTGCAGCATTTAGTTATTTACTTGTGGATATTAATTTTCATTAACTTCAGTTTAAAAATGTTTGTACAAGTAAAATATGTTGCTTCTTTATAAAGGAGTCTTGTTAATAACTTTGGGAAAGAAATAACAATTAAGCTAATGGTACATTTGAAAAACAACCAAAGAAATCAAATTCCTATGAATAAATACAAGTTATATTGTATACATATGTCAGTTTACCAGTAGAATACCTAAATTTTCTTAAGTGTTAAATATATTTATGTTGTGACTATGCATACTACATATGTCTATACATATTTATGTGGGTAACTAATTTACAGGAATGAGCCAGAAGTCCCTGAGTCCCCCTGCAGAAAATGGCATCTGTGACCCCTCTTCTACTTAGTGACCTTGACAACAAAAATATCTCTGTTATAAGCACATGAGAGCCATTTTCAGCATTTATTATAGCAAATATAGAAAAAAGTTTGCATTTATATGCAAAGACATGCTGAGACTGTGAATCCTGTATGTCCTTAGGGACTTTTGAAACACCCTGTAAAATCCACATAAATATGTATAATGTACCCATCACCACTCTGTGGAACTATCAGTTTTAAATTCTTAAATGAAAAATATTTTTACTTGCATTTATCTTGTAATTTAGATTAGGTTGTTATCTTAAATATTTCCTCTTTTTTTCCATAATGCAGTCATAAATGCAGTTATTCAGTGCCAATTATATGAACATGTCTACAATTAGAAAAATGTCCATTTACAGTCCTCATGAAAGGCATTTATCTCAAAAGCTAAATTATGGCAACTTATTTTCAGAATACCATCAGATCACATCCCCAGCTGCTGCCAACATGTGTGGTTTTCTTTATTCTGAACACTATGTTGTAGGGAATGAAAATTATAACAACATACAACATCAAAATTGAACCTTAAAAAAAAGTTATTAATGATTCCCAGGACTTCCAGATAAGTTTTATTTTGTGAGTTTTTTATCCACGAAAAAGAGATGTTTCTACCCAATGACACAGTAGTAGTCAGAAAGAAATTTGCTTAATATTGACCAGAGTCTCCATTCTTTACACAATTTGCATAGTAAAACATAATACAGTTTTTCATTGATCTCTTGCCCTTTGAAGAGATCCATGTTCAAATATTCAGCCCATAGTTTTCTCAGGTCAATGCTGAGGGAAGTGAGAACCACTTCAAAGTTCTCGGCTAAGAACAGAACCACATACACTAGTAAATAAGACCTCTCCAGACTTGGAATTGGCATAGTTGTGCTTCAACGTATCACCTCAGGGCATCACAATTGAGGTCAGGGTCTAGTTTGCAAAATGCCTTTTCCTCCAACCCTTGCATTGGTATGTGCTTTCCAGTAATCCGTTTTAAATGTCCGAAAATTACCATCGTCACCTAAGCTTGAGTTTAAAATGTAATGCAAAACAATATTTTTTATTTTTTAATTTAGAAAAAAAAATTGTGATTACCATATTCTCATATTCAGAACATTTGTGTGTACCGAGTTCCTTATTTAATCTCTGTCGAATGCTGCATTAACTGTTTCTGAGATATTAGTGACCATTTTACTGCATGAGGATTAAACAATGCTTTCTTTGATGCATCATATTCTTGTGGCATACTGGCAAGCTTATGAATCAGCGAACAGAGCTCTGATTCATAAAGTGCAATGCACCTGTTGTGTTGATAATTTTATGAAATTCAGTGACGGCGGTGGTATGATTACTTCTCAGTCAAATGCAGTTTTTATTAGTTGATATACTTTTCCCACTGTACACAAGTGGCTTCTTCCCTGCTTTGCACAAGCCCAAAAGCAGCAGAGTGATCTGAAAAAGTGAGTACTCCTCATGGCAACCACAGCATCAGTCCATGTGTCATACCACATCCTTACACATGTGAGTGCTTTAGTCTTGAAACATGTTTGTCACAGTTTCTCCTGTAAAGCCCCTCAGGACATAGTGCTACATACTGCTGAACACATCGACTCATCTTCATCCCTGGTATGTCGATGCCAGCTGCTCATTCATAGATTCCCAACATGTCTAATTGCTGCTCTCTCAGTGGCATCCTTGGGACAATCACAATGGATAAAGTATAAAACATGTCCTTGAAACACTGAGTTCTTAACCTGTTTAGTAACTGTGTATTCAACAGGTTGTAATGGCAGAATAACTTACACTGAAGGGTTTTCTTGTATTATGTGATCATTATGATCTCTCTGAGAGGGATTCAGCTAAACATACTCCAGGGAAGTCATTTGTAATACATTGAGCAAACCAAACCAAACACAAGAGTTGGCCAGGTGACCTGCACTCAGAGTTTGCTGGACCCCTGAGAATTACTCTTTTTATTCAATGTAATTATTCTATATTAACAAACAGTATGTCAAGCACTTCAAAGAAGCTCAAGTCCATGCTGTCCCACACTAACACTTAAAGTCAAACAGTATGTAAACAAGTGTGCATTGATGAAAGGATTGAAGGAAAGAAAGAAATAGGTGAATCGTCAAATCTTAAAGGAAAAAGTTTTGCTAGACCTGTGCTGTCCAATACAGTAGGCATAGCCACATGTGTCTGTTGAGTCCTTTCTCTGTAACTACCCCAAATTGCAATGTGCTATAAGTATAAAATATACACCAGAGTTTGAAGTTTTTGTGCAAAAAAAAGATATAAACTGACACATTAATAATTTTATGTTGATTACAGTTGAAATTATAGTATTTTGGATATATTGGGTTAGGTAAAATATATTGTCAAAATTATTTTCACCGTTTTCTTTTCACTTAAAAAAAGTCTACTAGAAAGTTTAAAATTACTAGGCTCTCATTATCTTTCTATTGAGTACTACTCTAGACTGTAATAGTATAAATAAATCTACTTTGAGGGTAGAAGGAAAAACTATATGTCAAAGATTGATTATATTATAGAAAAACAATTATATCCTTTATGAAAATGAAATGACTTTAGCAACTTTTTTTTCTCATAAGGAACCTTAGAAATTTTCATTTTAGCCATATTTCCTGGTACTTTTTTTTTTAACAAGGTATATCCCCTTCATTTTTTGCTATAGATCACATTGTCTTAAATGATGTGTTCCAGACCTCTTATTGTTAAGGAGATTTTTTTCATGTTTTTGCAAACTTGGTCTTTGTTTTTCTATATATCCCACCCCTTATATCTTAATATTGATTTAATTTTTGTGTTTGATAAAGATAAAAAGAGTAATGTCCTTCGTTGGAAAAATATTCTTAAAGCTATTAAATATAGCCTTATTTAGGTTTCTATTACTAACTTGAAACAATTGTTTTAATTATGTTCTCCTGTTTGCCCTAGTGTTAGTACTACCCAAGTTGTAAACAGTAATATCTGTTCATTTTCCCATGAATAACTTCACAATTACAAATCTAATTATCCTGTCAGGATAATATTTGTAGTCAGTTGAGATTTAGATCAAGTCAGAGTTTAAAGTTATCACATGATTATTCTCTACAAAAAGATCTACTGGTACTCAGATACGGTATAAAAACTGTGCCATGGGCAGAAACATTAGTACTATTAGCTCATAAGAATTTAATTCTGCCAAGTGTTAGAGTTACCAAGACAAAGCTACCAAGATCTGTGTATTTAAGGGGCTCATGATAACGATTTAGTTGTCTTGTCTTTTCAATGAATTTATAAGTTAACTTAGTTTTGATAGAGTCACTATTTTGATGGGTATTGTACAAATTTCTTAATTTGGATACAACTAATAAAGCCATAAACAAATAGTTCAATTACAAAATTATGAATGAAACCTACTCACCAAATAGCACATGCTTTGAATCAGTGTCAGGAATAATACAGGCATTTTCAGAATGCATAAAGAGAGACCTTTTAGAAGCATATTTGTGCTTTCATTTATATATAAATAAAATATTCTTAAATTTTTTTCTATTATTTAGATGAGATAAAAGACATGGTATACTTTTGCAATTTTTTAAATTAGCATTACAAATATGTTTTTAACTTATTAACTTCAATGTTTTAACTTTTAAAATTATTTTTAAGCACTAAAATGTTTAAAAATAAAAACAGAATATTTTACTTTTAAACAATTTTGAGATCATCAATCTGAATTGTAAAATGATGGAATAATGAATTATTATTCTTAACAGACCTTGTTTTATCATTGAAATGTATTTTGATTTGAAGTTAATTCATAATGATATAAGTTATCACAAGCTTTTAGCTCTATATTTTTTAATGAAACACCTAAGCTATATATTGGTTAAAGACAAATAAACTTAGATTTAAGTCACAAAACAAGCTATGTAAATATATACTGGAGTTTAAGTAACAGACAGTATTTAAAAGCAGAAAAATATTTTTTTCATTTTGGTTAAATAACCCCCTATAACTTAGATCATATAATAATTTATTTTTAAACATTGAAATTAGAGAAATTCAAGTTGAACTAAGACAAATGCATTTTTAGATAGTTTTAAAACAGATCATAAGTCATTAAAGTTGAATGATATTATCTGCATTTTGTTCAACACAAAATATAGTGTTGATATAAAATAACAACCAGTTTGGTCCTGTGGTGGCTTATATTGGCCACATCAACTAACCAGTCTAAGTCAATTCAAAAGACTATTGAACCTTACACCTTCTTTAAAGAAGGTGTAAGGTTCAATAGTCTTTTGAATTCTGAATATCAAGCCCCTCCCTGCAAGTTCTCATCTATCTTCTAACTTCCGCTGTTTCCTTTTGTTTCCATGCCCAATGATCGTGTAAGGATTTTCCCTCAAAATCTCAAAA